TTACCCAAATCTATCAAATAAACCCATAAAATAAACTATAAATTAACCCAAACAAAATGTGATAAATAAGCAAATAATAAATCTACACAAATAACTAGCAAAGTAAATATTATTGGATAATCCAAACAAAAACTAATTAACAGATATTAGAAAAACCTAAAGACTACAAAATAGCTCCTACAGTCAGTTACTAATGTGATAAAATAAATGAGCAAACATAAATGTGTACTTACGGTTCTCAACAGTAGATGTCACCATCATCAGCCAAATAAAACTAAGATCTCCATTTTTGGTTTCAGTTATATCTTTGCTGTATGTAAGATCTTACAGTATTGTTTAAAGCGGATGCAAATATGTGTAATCCTTTTTAAGTGCTGTATATTAATAAATATATTACCTTTGTAAAGTGGGAACCCTCCCTGACAGGCCTGATGAGTAAATGAATCCAAGAAAGGTTTAGATTTACACTTTCATGCAGGAATTTGACATTTCTGCTCTGATTTTATCATTCTGGCCTCAGGTTGACATTGTAATCAAACGTTGGTGTACTCATTGTTCTTGGAAACATGACAGATATAAACAAAGTTCCAAACTGACACAAAAAGATTAAAGAGAGAAACTCTTTTTTAGATTGAGAGCTTGTTCCAAGTATCAGTGCACCATCGCAGGGGTTCACAGTTAGAAGACTTACTAATAGAGGACATGTTTGTGCTCTATCCTCATAAGGATAAAGTGTTGTGAATGATCTCACTAGAAACAACAATAAATATGTTTTCACCCTAAAGACTTAATTAGTTTGAGAGCCTGTGGATGTTAAACAGAAAAAAGCTACTGTGTAAAATATATGTGCACTCGCCATGACTGATATTATATGAAAACAGAATTGTTGGAAGAAGATTGTGTCACAACTGGAGTAATAGAAAATATGTTTTAACCTATCTGGAATCCCTTCAGAAAGATGATAACATGCGAGAACAAAAAAATCTTTTTTAGTTCTTTGCAGGCCTCATATTTGAGAGCAGTTTGTAGTGCTGTACCCAAAATGAATAAGTAGGTTGCTGAAGTGATTTTCTCTTTACTGCATCAACACTGCCTCTGCAACTATCGATCAACATTTTAAGGTGGATAGAACCAGTTGGCAGGAGAGGAACAGTAAATGCAAAGATTTAAAAAAAACCCTGGATTTCAATAGTTCCCCACTCTATCCTCTGTCCACGCCTCTTCATAATAGAACCGAACGCCTAACGCCTGATGATTCACTGTACAACAAATACTGAAAGTGAAGGAATAAATGTTATTAACATGTTATTAATACATATTCATTTTTTCCCACCCATGGATTGAACTAATTTGTCCTCGCAAAAAAATGGCGAAACAGCGCCACACGCCTGTTGACCCCCATTGATGTGGCCAAAAGTGGTACTGCAGCCATTCCTACTTTACTGTTGCCATGGTGACAAGCACCACGCCGGGGATGGGGAAACGTTAAAACAATCAGACGGCCAATTAATCCAAAGACACTCATCTAAAGGGCAGAAAAGATAATTACACAGTGCATGAGTCAAGTCATTTCTCTTTTCAGAAATCCTTGATTAAAAAAAAAAAAAAAAAACTTGAGGAAAAAGTTTTGTTTTTTCCCCCGCAAAATCCAGAATATAGCATTCTAAATTAACTACTTTTACATTTTAAGTATGTTGTTCTTCCTGTAAAATCGGATTCATACTGGATACATTTTAGGAAACTTACAAAACATCACAAAAGCAGAATTCTTGTTTTTAACTTAAATTTTTATTTATTTATTTATTTTTTATTAAAGCCTGCTTAAACACACAAAAGTAGCGCTACTTTAGGCTACAGTATTTTCAGTAAATGGGGCCAGTGTAGCATCCGCATGTTGTGTACATTTATCTAAAGAGGAAAAAAACTGCAGTGGGTGATGCTGCTAAAATTAATCGCGTCCACAAGTGGTTTAATTTGATTTCCGCTGCACTGCAAAGCAACAGCTACAAAATCCTGCTGTGTAATTAAAAAAATATTACGGATATTTGAATTTCTGTCCAATGCAGGTAATCTACCTGCACGTTGATCAGCACTCTCTAGACTAGCAGGCATGTGTGTGTTATCAGGAGTGCAGCGGTAGGCCCTCTTGGCTCCAGTTCCAACTCCAGTCTGCCTCAGCCCTGCGCAGTCAACCGTCAGCAGCGCCACTGGGTGCAGGGATATCCCGATGAAAGGGGAGACTGTTCGGGGTAAGTGTCACATCTCTCCCGGTGAAGTCCTCTCCGGACTCGTATCGCTTTTATCCGCAGCGTGTGTGCGTACTATCGACGGGCGTGAAGGTGCGAACGGAACAGTTTTGCTTTTGGTGACAGAGACTGGCCAAAGGCCCGGTGACCCACATTCTTATCTAATGCTGCATGTTAGCTAGCTAGCTCCAGCTAAAAGTGGGTTGACACACATACTGTTGCAGGCGAGTTAAATGCTCGCTACTTTACGTTATAAAGTCGCCAGCCGGAGGAGAAAATACCGGGTATCTGTTTTTTCGCGGAAGAAGAAGCCCCGGCAGTGTGTGTCATTCGTCGCAGTAAGTGTAATAAACTATAAAGCTGTTGTTTTGTTCCTGTAATTGACGTTAGCATGCAAGCTAGGTGGCGTTAGCCTTCTAGCAATCACTGCCCGGTTCGCCGGCCGGCTTCTCCGGCAGCGAGCAGACAGACAGATATGCTGTACCTGTGTTTGTCATATTTCGGCTCGGCAGGTTTTTACATGCTTGACCACCGTGCATGTCTCATCTGCGTAGTTCTCACACATTTAACGCTTCTTTTATTGGGTCTAAGTGTTTTTTTGCCCCCCGGTGTTAATTGATGTGTTTGTGGCAGCTGCGTTGCTCTCCATTCATCGGCAAGGCAGCAACTAACTATTATTTTCATCATCACTTCATGTATTCTCGATTAATTGCTCAGTTGGTTAATATGTACAATGTCAGAAAATGGTGAAAAATGTCAGTCAGTATTTTTTTTAAATTCTCAGAATGACAGCTACAAACGACTTGTGTAGTCCACAGACCAAAGAGTTGACTGTCACAGAGGAGCAAAACACAGAAACTATTAAAATAAGATTTGTTATTTTTTTCCTCCTGTAAAGTACTGGAACAAATTAATTAATTGTCAAATCGTTTCCAATTAATTATATCGCTGACAACTAGCTGCTAAATTGACATCATGGCAGCTGTCGTCAACAGGTATGAAATTGATCACACAGTCACTTGATCTATTCATTTAAATGTCATGTTCGTCCAGAAGTGTCTCAACGCAGCTTTATTTCATCTAAGAGGTGATTTATTCACCTCCATCAAACCTGCTAATGACAGCATCCAGATACAAGCTATGTAGTCTGATACTGACATCAAATGAAGGGTTTGAGGAAAATATATAATCACTGTTTGTCTGACAGATGTTGCCATTTGATTTGCAAGATCATTTTTTAAATGTCGAGCTTCAGTTCAGTATTAACCATGTAATAGATTTAAAACATGTAACGGAGCATTATTACATGACATGGCACCAAAAATATGAACTGTGTTTTATTGCTAGGATGAGATTTTAGAGATATCCCTCTCCCTTCAGCCAGGTTTTTATTTTTTTACATTTCACATTTTTAAATGGCATAGGAAATAGAACAAGGGTGCGACTATGTTAAGTTAAAGTAGTAATGATTAAACCAAACAATTCCAACAAGACAATAAGAGCAAAATTGATCAGTCTCTGTAATTGAAGCCTGTAATTCAATCACTTAAGGCTCAGGAGTACTTCAAATTGTGCATTCACATTAAAGTAAGAATGAAAATAAAGTCAAATGCACTGTTTAAGGTGTATCCTAAATTGCAGCTGTTGCAATTTGTTAATTGCTTGTTTGAAATTGCGACTTTGAATTGAAATTGATTATTGATTCAGTCCGGACATCAAACATGTGTAACTTGTGAACCTGCCACAGGCCAGTAAAACCATTAGGTACAAGTAGTGGCTGCTTAATGTTATGGAAATTAAGGTTAAGTTTGGATGCTCAGAATAGAAAGCAAAGTCAAGATCTATTTGCATTTTCAATTATCAGTTGTGTGTCACAGTAATACCTGAAAAAAAAAAAGGCAACCACAACGAATCTCTAAATTAGATTCACTATGTATAGTGCTACAATAATTAATCGATTAGCTGTAAACTATTTCATGAAACATGAACTATTTTGATAGTTAATTAATTAGTTTGAGTAATTTTAAGAAAAGTCAAAATTCTCTGATTTCAGCTTCTTCATTTTCTGGTTTATTTACTCCTTTATGACAGTAAACTGAATATCTTTGGGTTATTGACAAAAAAAACAACATTTAAGGACGTCAACTCGGGTTTTGGAGAAAAACCGATCAGCATTTTTTAATTTTCGGACATTTTACAGACCGAACAACTCAGTGATTAATCGAGAGTGGAAATAATTGTTAGTTGCAGTCCTAGTTATATTTCAAAGCCTAAATAGTCCCTTAGATTGTGCTTTTGTGAAGTCTTGAATTAATTAAATCAAGTGTGAAGGCAAAGTACCTCTCCCTCTGAAACTAATTAGATACACATTTCTAGTTTTTTTTTTAATTTTTTATTCTAGAAGTCTTTTGATTCGGGCTTAATGAAATCGATTCATGTAACGACGACTTCACTGTGATGCTCGTTGCAAGATGGAATCTTCTTGTAAAGATAAAAGTAGTGAAATGAAATGGTTTTCTATACGTTCCACTTTGACTACATCCATGTTGAGCATCATTAGTACATATCAGAGAAATTCAGCGATAGATAAGTATTTTTTATTTATATTCATCTCTATAATAGCTTTAATTTGTTCATATTTGGTTTTGATTTGATTTCATTGAACATACACTTGAGAATAGAAAGTAGACAGTAACTTTAATTACCATACTGTCCACTGCAATTAAAAGTGGACAAATCTTGATGTGATTTCTTTCTTTTTTAGGTTACCCCTGTTTTTAAGAATTACTTACAGGTTTTCAAGATATTTTTGTATGTTGCCTCGCCTTAAGCAATAGTAAAAGTAGTAAAATCAGAGTAGTGCTTTGAGGTCATTGTTAATTAATAGAGCTAGACTCTTAAAAATGTTCAGGCTAATATATTGGCCAATATTATCTGATACTACATTTGACATTGATTTTATATAGTCTGTGTTTAAATCTCTGATTATATTATGTTTATGTGGTGTGGTACATGTTAGCAGATGGGCAACAAGAAATGTCAGTGCACAAATGTCAACCTGATGTAACTTAGAAATAATGTCACCATTACATTGTTTGTCCACTGACAACATTCATTTTTGGGTCACCAGTACCACCATTGTATGTAAATGTGGTACTTTTTTCTATAATTTCATGGGGGATTAATTTAAAATGTGGCCTTTGCTATGGCCACTTACATCAACTGGAAATAATTTTGTCCATGTCCTCGCCAAATTTCATGGCTGTGGGATTTCTTCTTCTAGAGATATGGATTCCTAGAGATTTTTTTTGAGGGTGAAATCACTAAAAATCCCAGGTCTGAAGTCTAGAAACACAGCCAAAAATATTTGCCAGAACTTACTATTAGGTCCCCAATCACAAATTAGTCAATGTTGAACAAAATCTGAGAAGTTGGAGCAACACCACTATCTGAAAAGACGCAGACTGACCTCGCTGTGTTTTTTTACTCTCAGAAAAACAAATTAAAGGCATTTGTAACAGGATTATGTTAAAAAAAAAATGACCGGTCATCACCAGTACCAAGTCTAAAATTCAACATCAGCATAGCGTGAACAATCCAGTCTGTGTCAGGCTGTGTTAATTGATAACAAATACTTTGTGGCTGTGTTTGCACACAATACAGATTCACTGCTCCATTTTCAGCATAAAGAGCTGTTAGTGGAGCATGGAAAAATACTTTGACACCTTTTTTGTTGCTGGAACTAACGCAAGCTGCAGGTGAGCTGAGGAAACAGGGACGCTCTGTTTCTCTCTGTGAATCTGCTTCTTCTGCTTTGGCAGACTGTTACTGCTATCTATTGTGTTTCACTGTTGCTTGGCATCTCGAGCACATTGGAACACATTGTTTGTCGAGGTTTACCAGTTTCTCTGAGTTTAGCATGAAGCCTAAGTTGTGTATGCATTTCCAGTTTATGGGTGTTTTGTGTATTACATGCAGTAGTAATAAAAAGTGGGCACACTTGGCAGTAGAGCATGGCAAATTGGCTTTCTTTAAACAGAGGAGGAGGTGGGACGGATAACACCATCAGCTATCAGGGAGGGAGAGGAACACATGCAGATTACATTATTATGTGCTGCGTCTAATAATGTAATTACTGAACGCCTGTCACTCTGATACAGAGGAGCCTGTGTTGATTTGGATGCGATGTTCTCTGGCTGTGGACAAATTTAGCCAGCTTTCATTCAGAGGACTGATAAGAGGTGGTGGTACTACTGGTTCAGTCTATCCCTGGTTGATACTGATAGTTGGCAGACTGGAGCGCTCCTTAGCGATTAGAGACGTGCTAATGACTGCTGAAGTTTGAAAACGTTGCAGTCCATATGGCACATTTCACATTTTGGTTCTGCAGCTTAGGTGGAATAAAAGGTTGACTGTCAATGACCGCATAATCTACAAGCCCTTGGGCTTAGTGCGGTGGCTTTGAATGTGAACAGCACATTGATAGTGTCACAGGGATGACTCCTATAGTGTCCCTTCCTCAGGGTAATCTGCCTTCCCAGTGTCACATCACTGCTACAGCAACCAGTTTTACAGAAATCAAGCACCAGATTTGCATTCACAAGACTTTCATGCTTTAAAATCCTTGAAATTGTTTTTTCTAATATTATTGGTCAAGGCTGACCCATGTGCTTGATGCGGTCCATCGGACCAGGGATCATGAGGTTAAAGAATTGACTCTGTTGGTGTGGACTCAGTCTTTGCCAGAGATGACCCTGAATGTGATGCTGTTTAAACCATTACTTGTCACTTTAAAAGGAAAGGTTATAGTAGGGTATTTTTTATTTTTTTTTTTTTTTAGGTAGTTGCAGCAGTGGGGAGTTTTTGAAGGTTATTAGAAATGAGAACTAAAAAGTTGGCATTCAACTTGACTCAAAAAGCAAGCACCATGTAGCAATTGATGTGTTTCAGTGTAGTGTATTAGATCAGGTTGACGCTGCAGTCATTTAAATGCTGACTCCAACAGTAGGGCTTCAATACTGATGTTAAAATGAGTTAACTTTTGCTCTATCTGTTTGATAGCCTGTGGAAGCTCTGTGTTACTCTGTTTGCCTTTAAATGGTGATGAAGTACAATAGCATTTGTTGAAAAGACCTTTGACAGCAAACCTCCGGTATGTACACTCGATGATGTCAGTTACTGAAAACCAGACATTCAGATGCTGCACTTGAATGAAGCTGTATGTAACCTAGTTCTTAGCATTTTGGTACTTTAGCGCTTTATAGTACTATGTAATATATATGCACACACAGTACGAATTTCTAAGCTAATTAATTGCAAAATCATGGTAGTTCACAATTCCTCTCACATACATGGGGCAATTGGGCAATCGGACAATATGCCAAAAAAAATAATTGTATTGCGATTATTTTAACTGTGCCATATGAGTCATGATTTTAGTGTGAATGGTAACTTTTGCATATCTTTTCCACTGAAACAAATACAAAAACGATGATGTGATTTTTCTGTCAAACAGACTTGTTCCCTTACGTCTGGAGAATATGATTTGTAGGCTGTGGCATCTCCGTAGCACCACACAATGCTTTATTTGTAACGGTATGTTGTGACACATTTTCCTTTATCAAAAAAAAATTGCAGCTCCTGCGATTTCGATGTTGTACTCAGCCATATGGTGATTTAGATAATATTCGATTAATTGTTCAAGAAGCTCTGCTGGCTGAGAAGCTCATGTTGTCAACGAATATGTGAACCAGATATCCACAAGAGATCAGTAATCCATTCTGCTGGCTTCTGTTCACTACCCCTCAAGCTCTAAGACTACTACGTCCACTGACAGCTACATTAACTGCAGAGAAATCCTTTTGCCACACAGGATTGTTCTGTCAGACTGACCTTTGTCTCAAAGCTGAGAGGGTTTTTCCTCTTGAAGACATAAATCAGATTCACAGACTTTGTCAGCACTTATTTCTCTGCGTGGTCTAACACATCAAAAGTAATGTTTCATTACTTGGCAAACAGCAGATCTCTTTGGAGTTTGTCTCAGTATGTGCGGTGATGAAGCAGTAATGCAAGCTGACGAGGTGAAGCTGGAGACTTGTTTGATCTTGAACTTTTAAACTAGTAGAAATGGGTTACTGAGCTAATGACTGCATATTTGTAGCAGATACTAGGCCTGAGCTACACTTTTATGAATTTCTTAAATTCTTTTGTTCCTATGATTTGTGTCTGCCCAGAATGGATTTTTTTATTACTAAATGCAAGTACTACAATATTGCCACGCTGTGCAGCCCTGCTGGTATACTCCTCTTTGGTATAGAGCTCATTTTTGCTTCAGCGATACAGCTAAAAAGGAAAAATGTGCACTGAGTTTATTACAGAACAAATACGAACACTTAAGAGACTTAGGCAACAATAAAACCGAACAAAACTACTGTTAGTTTGTGTCTCTAGTGTCTGTTTTATGCTACAATATTATCAGCGTTTAAGTGAAATAAATGAAGTAATAAAGACAAGCACAAGAGATGTGGTTTGAGACAGCAAAAGTAACACCGCATGTCTTTCACACAGCAGTTGATTCTTGCAACAAACAAAAAAAAAAGAAGTTGACCTACATGGAGATCAGGGGCAATCGAAAACTGTCTTAGAATGACGCTATCTGATGCTACTATGATCAAGAAAAACTAGGTCAGGTCTTTTTTTTTTCTTTTCTAAAAAGTGATGTGTGAGAAGTACGAAGTGTTAACATGAGCATCATTGTTGACGGCTCTTTTATTACTCAAATTAGACTTGAGCAAATCAATATGTTTTTGAGTCTGCAAACTGAATCTGTGTAACGCGTCATGTTAACAGATCATGCAGCATGAGCAGCTGGAGGAGCTATAAAGTAAAGCAATGACGAAATGTGACAAAAAACAAATAAACACAGGATTCGTACCATCAAAGGTTCTTGGTGCTGAAATATTAAAAGTTATCTCGAGCTGCATCTTGAGCCAAGTTTAACTAAGCCAAACCCAAGCTCTTAAACTGATCCTGACAAACCTGTACTTCACTGTCTCTTGACATATCCACACACTACAGTTTGTGAAGTCACTCATTTAGAGCTTAAATAATACGTTTTTTGTCTGTTGTGCAGAAAATTAATCAACAATTTTGTCACATAGTAAGCAAAAGTGCTAAACATTTTTAGGTTCTAGCTTCTCATTTGCTAGAATATGCTGCTATTTACTATTTTTCTATTCCTGTAGATTTAATATTTCTGGATATTTGATTGTTGTTTTTGACAAAATGCGTACTTGGAAGATTCCACCTTGAGTTCTGGGAAAATGTTATGTTTTTAACTATTATCTTACTTCTTAAACAGGCTAAATAAGCAACTGAATAGCTGAAAAAATATTGGATGTGATGGATATATTAAGTGATGAGTCAAAGTCATAGACAGTTGCAGAAACTGATGCTTAGGGTGTGTTCAGTACGCATGCTACCATATGGTATAGTATGCCAGACAAGATTTAGTATATAGCATGTCAGATGCTATGATGTCTTGCTACATCCAGTCACATTTTGCAGTATCCAAGCAAGTATGCTTTTCTGATCATTTTGACCCACAACTGTACACAGAGAAAGATGCATCACATACACTGGTGTCTGCATGGATATAAACAAGCGTTAGCCAGCGCCAAAGAGTGCACAGATGATGGTTCATTTCACGCTGCAGACTGCGACAGATGTATAAGCAAGTCAGTTTAAGGCACAGTATGACTACGTAGAATGTCTCAATTGTATGCTTACTGCAAGAAACAGTACAGACTTTGTAAGGGCAGCTTGACTACGAACTGAAGGTAAAAAGAATAAGTATGTGGTCTGGAACTCTGCCTTGTTCGTTCCACTTAAACCTGACTTAGAAGAGTAAATGTACAAACACTGCCGACACATGTTTATGTCAATTGCTTTGCCATGAATCATTTTCTTTTTTAGACTGTAATCCTTTGTCTGAAACAAAGTTTTTCATTTTTTCCCCTCTCTGGAGCATTTGTAACTTTCCTTGAACCTAAACTAGGTTTTACTGCCATACTCCTCGTTGCTGTAGCCTGATAGGCTTTATCAGCATTCTGTGAACTCATTTGGCTTGAATATAGCGGACCTTCATTTATTAAAAGTCCTGCACTCTAGCTTTAATTAAGCACTTGGTGGTTCTGAGACAGCAATTTACAATATTTGAGGTCAAAATAAATTAAGAAGGCCACAGGTGTTTACAACATGGCAGGAATCCTTCAGATAAATGTAGTAGCTCAAGGCCAGTAGGAAATGAACGCCCTTTTATGACTAGGTGAAAGTGCCACTATGATAATGTCCTTGATCATGAGGAGGGTTGTTAAGTATCCGAGTTGTGGTGCTCAAACACACGCACCTTCAGCATGGCTTTCCAATGACACAAAGTATATTAATGCAGACACTTATGTATACATTGCCTGGAGGCAGACCCCTTTCCCAGCTGATGGTCCAGACACTTGGACTGTGAATGAACTTCCAACACATATGCGTGTGATTGTGTGTGTGTTTGTGATTTCAGAGCTGTTCTCTTGTTTCTGCAGTGTTGTGGGAGGCTCGCGATGACCCAGATGTTTTAGTTCTGATTCAGTAATGTGAGTTTCTTTGCTCTAAGCCACTCATTTGTAAATTTAGCTTTTCTCTTTCTGTTCAACAGGTGAAGAATTCAGGCAAGATTTAACTACACTCATCTGTCATGAGTTGAAGCGGTCGACTAATTAACCATCACTCAAAGACAAAAGGTAGGTCCTTTTAGAAATAAGCTGCTGAATTTTGCTCTCGGTTACAGCAGCGGCCTGTTTAAAGCTTATTCATATTCCAAGATGGACGGTCTGGGCTAATTAAGATGTTTGACGTCTAATTCATCAGTAGCTCCTACAGTAGTGTTCTATTTTTGATTTGCAGTCTGTCGTCGTGAAAATAATGAATATGGAATGAAAATGGTGTTGACTGAGTCACTAGAGCATTTCAGATAATTTTCTCATAAGAAGAGGCCGCTATTAAACTGGTTCAGTTCTCTTTGTCTGCATCTGCTGATAATTTTGATTAGCCTGTGTTATTAAAATTGCTGTGTCCGCGCTAGCTGTGATGTGTGTCTGTGTTTGGTGAGTACATATTGTAATTGGCTAAGCTCTCCCAAGATTTAGTGGAAAGATGCCATGTCTAGATAAATAAATGCACAGTATATCTTTCATCTCTTTCAGAATTTTGACCGATGTGCCTTGCATTAACCTAGAATAGCCTTAAAGGATTTATTGAAAAAGTCTTTACTATGCAAGGTTCTTGTTCAGTATGGGAAAGTGTGCAATTTGATTTTAGTCATTTGTTTAACTGACTGTGTGGGTTAATGCATTTCCACGTCTGCAGTTATGCTTCAGTCCAGCCTAAACTGAGCTGGTGTTTACATCTTTTTGGGCCTCCCCTGCTCTCTGTGCACACATACATTGCATTTGAATTGAAAATAAAGCAGTTGTCATTTACATGGTTGCTATTGGCAGACAGCAGAACGTGTATGAAATAGTGACGGAAATCCAACGCATTAGTACTACATGTTAACCAGCAGTCACCTCATAGCCATTTCACAAACTGTCACTGCACAGCTAAGCTACTGATTTTGTAACCACAACCTGTCTGACAAACTCACCATATACATAGGTTAAACACAACAGCTGTGCTGTAAATCCAGCAGTATTTCCATGTAACACGATAGCTTAGAAAGAAAGTGAGAAGAGATCGAAAGTCTTTGACTCACACACTCATTCACTTTGGTGCACAGACTGTTTTTTTCATATCCTATTTAATAAAATAAAAAATTCTGAATTTCTTTTTTTTTTTTTTTAATATATTTTTTGGGCTTTTTACCTTTATTTAGAACAGTAGAGAGAGACAGGAAAGGGGGTAGAAGAATGGGGAGAGACCTGCAGCAAAGGGTCATGAGCAGGATTCGAATTCACAACCGCTGCGTTGGGGACTGTAGCCCCCTGTTCATGGGTCACCCGCTCAACTAGGTGAGCTATAGGGGCGCCCTACAATTCTGAATTTCTAAGGAGAAAAAAAAAACAGATTGATCATGCAAGCACTTTTCATGGTATTTAGAGCAGGTAGCCAGAACAGTCAAAACTCTACGCTCTGCCTCGTAGCCTTATAAGTCTAAATGAATCATAAATTAACATAGAAAGCTAGAATTGGCAGCATATTAAATCATCTTAACCCCAGCTTGCATCAGAGATCCTGGAAATTTGAATCTGGAAAATTAATTTTGCAGTGGAGAATCTGGGGCAAGGTGTCTGCTAGATTTTAATAATTTTTAAACTGACAAGGGACATCCGTTAAGGATGTTTATCAAACCCTAACACAGATACATTTTTCACATATGCAGCAGGACTCACAAGAAGACCGAATAAAAGACTTCTACATGCATAATACCTCACCAGCATTAGTCTCAGTTAATGTTTTGCTGTTTATTGTGCACAAACTGAGATATTGTTCAAGGCAATGCAGCTAAACTGTTAGATTCATTGAACAATTAGTGATTCATTTCAGCCTTGAAATTCTGACTAATTTTCACATGGTCAAATATAAAATAACGACAAATGACATTTAAAATTTGTCAGAGGCCAAGTTAATGTTTTATAAGCGGTTTGTTTCACTTGCAGTCAACAAATCACACAGTTTGTACTTGTAGATAAGATCTGAGTTTCTAGTGCAAAGAAAAGCAGCAAATCTGCACATATCAGAAGCTAGAATTAGCCAGTTTTTGGTTGACTAATGACTAATTAGATATTATAATCATCGCTGCTTTTATTTTTGAACCTGTTGAAAAGGAAATTAATTGTTTCAGCACTAATCCTGACAAGTAAAAGCATTTACTACAGCGCTTCTCTTAACAGGCCTTGTGAGATTATCTGATTCCATGTTAGTTGTTTGTGAGTTCTGTGTGATGAATGTTGCCTAATTGAGGATTGTGCTGCAGCAGACAATGAAAGCGCTGACTGTATCTGAGATTAACTGCAGTCAAAGTGTGATTTCGGCTCGGACAAAGTGGGTTGGGTGTGCCGTGATGTTAATCTGTGGAGAAAAATATAACATGGTGCAAAGTCTTCTGGAAAACGACAAGGCCATATTCAAGCAAAGAGCAAAGTCAAGTAAGAAGATTACTAGATTTTCTACATGTTCAGCTTGTTTCTAGCAATGCTGCTTTATATGGTGGGAGCAAAATGTTGATTCTTAATTGAGAGGTTGTCTGGTTAGCATAGATGTCATTTATACACCACATAAAATGTTGGTGGTGAAATGTCAGTCATACATTTTGACCATAGACTGTGGTCTGCTGGCCTGTAGGTCCACAGTCATTCTTGATCGCTTCCCCTGTGCCGCCACTCGTCCCTCTGAACTCCAGTGACCCACTTGGCATCAGGATGAGGCCCCTGGCTGAGGTCCTGCTCCTCTGGGACAGGAGGCCAGCAGCAGTCGAAGGGGCCCCTGCCAACCACTGCTGCTTGCCTCTCAAACATTCCTGTCTGTGTGCTGTGGAGTGAAAATGCAAAACAAAGACTCCTTTTGTGCTGCTGGGCCTGCGGATGTGTGCGTGCAATGAGTGGAAACACAGCTGGCTGCCCAGCGTCGAGAGTTTGGTTGGTACAACTGTGCAGCAGTATGGTGGGCAATGTTGACCAGCTTGTGTTGTGGATTTTATTGCTTACAGGCCAAATGGCCGTGACATTATTAAAACCATCCTCATCTTCCAGGAAAGAGCTCTGCCTGTAAACTGAGAGAATCACATCGTTAATTGCTGTGTGGATGCCACCAGGATGTGCAGACCTTGAAGCTGCCTCTCACAGGATGTGTGACTGAGTAATTTATTCGTTAAAGTGTTGTTGTTGATTTGTGTGACCTCCTTGGCAGCGAGTCTGTTGCTTGCTGTTTGTTAAAACTGCATAACATTATCCTAGATATTTCCCAGCACTTAGAGCAGGATAAACACTCCTCTCTTCCTTATCTGCTTCTAATCTGAGTACCACGTCTGTGTCTGCTGTAGAGGATAAAGGATGATGTATGATGGATGATGGTTACCAAGTGGGTTTTTCAGTTTTAGACGGTTGACTGAATTTCTAGAAATCCTCTAAAGCTGTGCTCTATGTTTTGACACCTGGGGTCATTGATGGTTCACAAGTCCCCAGTCCTCAGGTGTCAGGGTGGGACTTGGACGATGAGGGAAACACAACGGTTGCTATGAAACCACTGTTTAGTTAGTCATGTGATACAAGACCTGCCAGACAGTGCTGTCTGTTGTCAGGGTTTAAAGATCCAGAAAAACATCCTTTGTTTGTAGGACATTTAGGGAATTTAACTGGCAACTATCTCAATTTTTGATGCACTGCAATTATATAGAACTTATATTTTTCTCTAAAATTAAAGAGTCTAGACAGTCCTCAGAAATTCCTGATTGGCTGACAGACCAATTAGGTTAACTCAACATACATTTAATGTGTGAGCTCTGTCTACAAAGCTTCTCTGATTTGTTACCTTTTCGGGACTCTTACTGGTCAAGCAAGTTACTCATACATTTGGGTTAGTCATATGTAGACATGTATGTATGTATGTATGTATAGGCAAACTTCATCATTTCCCTGCCTGAAATGCCTTGTTTGAAGTCTAGATTTGCTTCCGCTACTTATTTTCATCACCATCTAACACATTTGCATAATGCCTGCCTAGCAACTGTTTGACTTTGCAGTCCCTTTTTCCTGGTCGCTCAGAGCCACTTCTGTTAGAAGTACATCCCTGTGCATACATACATACATACATAGATCAGGGATTACAGCCTCACAAGGGTCTAGCCATCTGACCAATCAGAGCAGATCAGGCTTTTGGGAGTCTTAAGGCAGGAGCTCGGACTGAGTGTTTCAGATGGAGGGTAATAAAAGGTACGGCATTCTAGTAGCCCCCAAAAGTATAACTATGAACCTGTAAATATGCACAATTTGGCCGTTCAAGCTTGAAAGTTGCTTTTGTAGTCAATTTGTAAGTTTTGTCGAAATAGACATCTAGAAAATGTCCCTATGCACTTTACAGCTCTAATCGAATTATTAAATTATAATAAATTTACAAAAGAAATTCACTTTTTCCCGACTACAAAGCTGAATTACTGTTTTGAACAAAATGTACAAAATGCGCAAAATGTGTTAATTTTTTAGTCTATAATATAATTGAAACCTGATAAAAGTATGGATGAAAAACAAAAAGACATGTTGTTTGAGGCTTTGGTCTGCCTTTGTATCGATATCTTGGACAGCCTTTGTACTTTCTGCCCTTGTTAGACTGATATTCTAATGTGCAGCAGTACAATCCTGCCCACTCAAACATGAAGCTGTAGTAGGTGTATCCATGTTTGTTATGCTGTAGATTATCATCTTCATCTCTTGGTTTACATTTGAATGTCCATCACCTGGTATTTTTAATATGTTATCTATGATTTGAATTACTGAGCTTACTGATTAAAACGAGAAAGCTACCTTTGCAGTATCTGCTCCGTTTCCTCGGAAGCTTTGCTAGCTAAGCTGCAACAGCAGCAAAGCTTTTTTTTTTTTTTTACCAAGCTTCACACATCCAGGGATGCAGCAACCAAGGCCAGCTTTGTGATAGCACTCAAAATCGCAAAAAACATTAAGCCATTCTTAGAGGGGGAGTTTGTCAAAGAGTGCTTGGTGGACTCTGCAGCCCTAATATGCCCTGAAAAAAA